ATGTTAGATATACAATATAGGCACTTTGACAAATTCCTTATTTTTCTCTCCAATACAAAAAACAAATGAGAAAACAACAGCAGAAAAAAAAGACCAGTTGTGTGGGTCTAAGAGATGTACCATGGTTAGTACAGGCTCCATCTTTCTTCATTCCCCAGGAAAGTTGAGAATTAGCCGTTAACCACAGCACACCAAAGGTGGGGCTGCTGAAGCAAGCAGAAATCACAGCCCCAGCTGTGCGGGCGTGGGGGCTGCATGTAGCATCAGGTCAGTGTTTGTGGGTGCACACTTACCTGCTTACAGCAGGAAAGGCAGGATTGTCTCTGAGCCAAATCCAAAGAAAATTTTCCACTTGCCATCTCTCGTAAAGACTAAATGCAGCTTATTTTGGCTAGCAGTACCACACAAGTTCTCTTTTAGACATGAAACCAACCCTGCTAGTTATGTTTTGGGGTGTAACCGCAGAGCTGTGTGATTGCAGCATCTCTGGACATACCTGCATGAATTTCAGTCTGGACAGCGCAAGCAAAAATAATGACGCAGAGAGGGTTTTCAGGTGAGCCACTCATGCACCTCTTCCAGGTCACAAACCTGATGGTACAAATGGTGTAAAATTAATGCTACCGTATTGTTACTGCTAGTATTGCTCAAACAAGCTAGATTAACACGAGTGTACGCTAGTGCTACATCTTCTATGGCAATGTGTGTATAACCTTCTGTCCTAGTGTATCCCAGGCATGGATTCTGACCAATTTTTTAAGTTAGAAACAGAGGCAAGCCATAGCAGCCAGAGAAGCTGAAGTGCTTCAGAGAAACCTCAGTACTAAGCCTGAGCTGAACTCTGAGCCAGCCTTGAAGAAGAATTGAAAAATATGGAGCAGGTGTCCACCTCCAAATTATCTGTGTCTAGAGTTTCACTACAGTTTAAGCTGGCATAAACCATCACTACTGCTAAAAAAGCACCTCCAGGCTCCCTCACCTCTCAGCTGCCTGTATCAGCCCTTGCTCCTCTCCTGCCTTTGCGCTGGCGCGAGTCTTTGTGCAATTGCCCGATGACCTGCATTCAGATCTGGGTGAAAGCTGATTGCTTTTCCCTGCAGTAGCTTCGCCTCCACAGCTCAGTTCACCGTGCAGCCGTGCAAAAACGGTGCTGGCAGAAGGCAAGGTGGGCAGTGCAGCGGTAGGAATGGGGCTTGCCAGGCAGGGGAGAGGTGTGACTGCTGCTTTTGGCAGGCAGGATGATTTAAACTGCCTGGACGTATGCATGAAACTATATTTTCCATGTTGAAAGGCGGTGAGACGTCATTGCACACCCAGCGTGGCAATGAGATGTAAAGAGACAATTCATGTGAATCCTTTCAACTCTAAAATTGAGTTAAAAGTTGCTAGAGCTGCCTTTATCCCTTGCCAATTGTTGTGGCTTTACAGTAACTTTTGGTAGCTTTTAAATATTTTCTTTTTCTGCCTGTTCCATAGAAATTGAAGAAGCCTGAGTTGAGGATTGAGTTCTCCAAAGCTAACTCACTAACTCAGAGTTTCTCAGTTCGAATTTGCTGCCTCAAAAAAGGGGGGGGAACCATACTGCCATGTTTTGGCTCATTGTTTTATGTGGTATTATGACCACCCAAGAAACTCCGATTACTCTGGTTTCTGGTCTTTTCTAGCTAATTTTTTAGTTTTCATGATAATGGAAAAAAAACTTGAAAAGATCCAAAGACTCACTAGCCAGAGGGCAGAAAGAATACAAGACCCAAAACGCACATTTAAAACCTTGTTATAATAATTCTGGCTTCATGATAGTGTACCACTGGGGTCGGACAGTCCTCGCGCAAGCTCCTTCGCTTTCGCTCTCTTGTCCTCTAATACAGCAAGTGCAATTATGTGTTTTAAACAGTGGCATGTTAACACAGTGCCTGATGCAGACTCTGCACTCCTACTCTTGGAGTAGGAAATATTAACCACCCCCTCATTTCTCATGCACTGCTGGAATAGTTTATTTCTTTCTGCAACCAGGGCCTAAAGTCAGAAATGGTAAATCCCAGCTCTGCAGATACACAGCCACGGACAAAATGCCTGGACAAAGGGCCCTAGGCAAGACAACTCTGAATGCAAGTGTTCTGCTCTCTGAAGCAAATGCCTATGAATCAAGTGATTTAACATTTAAATAGATTTTTAAGTCATTTGACTAATTGGCAATTGCCTCAGACAGGAAGGATAAACACTGTTAGTCACAGCATTTAAGAGACTAAGTATGTGGCACCTCTCCTCCTCCAGAGCATGAGTTTCATGTGATTTGCATTTGATATTTGTGCTTTCCTTTAAAACACATCACCTTTGATTAACTTTGCCTGGAGACTTCTCCAGGCTCAGGAGCAGACCAGTTCATAACAAAGCACACTCTCAGATCAGACAGAAAGTGCCACATCCAGGGGAAGCCAGAGCACGCCGACCTCCTCCACTGCTTGTCTGGGTAATGTTGAACCTGCCAGGTGGGCAGAAGGGGGTCAGCAGTGCCCGCTTTTCGACTTTCTTAGCATCTTCATGTACTTATTGCACTGAGTGCTTATGATCTTGCTGAACTTTACTCTGGTTAGTTATTATGGCTCAGCAAACTAGTATGTTCTATTTTATGCCCAGAAATCTGTACTTGTTCTCCGCCGTTTTAACTGGTTTTTACCCTACCTTGTGCCAAAATAACACACCTTGCAGAAAAGCCTCTGTTGTTTGTGAAATGATTGTATCTGATTCATCAGTAATGTGTTCTTCCATGATTCACCTCGATACCATACATCTTTGTGATGTACTATTAATGTATATGATTCAGTGTGATGCTGCACACCTCTTTGTGATTCATTGTGCTACACAGCTGATTTTTATATGGCAGACATACACATACATATAACAATAGCCAAATACGAGAGATAATGAGGAGTCGAGATTCTTCAGTGAATGCAAAACCCCAGCATACAGACACTGGTAGATGAGCTGGGGAGCATGGTGTAAAGTGGTGATGGGCACTGAATCTTCCACGATACTGATACAAAAAAATGCACTGTCACAGCAGCCATGCGGTATGTTTGCCACAGTAGAAAAATTGTTTGCCCTCCAGTCTTCTGAGTCACTTCCTTTAAGCATGACAGCTTATTTTCAATTTGCAAAAAGTATTCTGCAACAGCAGAGTACCTCAACACCATTAAAACGTTTGGATAAGAAAGGGTCCGTGTGGCTTCAGAGGGTGGAGGTGGGTTGTCTCTCCCTTTTCTTCCTGACCTGGGGTGGCCATCCCGAGGGCAGCCGGGGTATACGGACAGGGGATGAGGGGGTTGCACTTGCCGGTCAAGTGCTCCTCTTCTTCCACGTTCCTAAAAGGAGGGCTGGCTACAGCAGCGCAACCTGCGCCCTTCCCGCTCCTAGGGACCTCCAAACCCTCTCACCAACCCACAGCCACAGCAGCGTGGCAACCCCAGGCGATACCCAGCACTCAAAAGATGCTGCTGCTTGCGGTAACACCATCCCAGCTCTGGTGGCACAAGAACGACGAAGCAGTTTTCAAAAATTACGGTCACCTGGTCATTTTGGTAATCATTTTAGATAAATGTAGCTATACTGCCTGTCACTGAAGCAGCAACCCTGGAAGGAAGGAACTCGTGCTTCCAAAGCTGCGGCCATGGCAGCGCGCACAGCCCGGTGCCAGGACTCCCTCCATCTGCAACCGCAGGGCCGCGCTTGTGAACCGAAAACACCCGGGCTGACAGGCCCCGCTCGGTCCAGAAAGCTCTTCCTAGATGTGGCGCGGCTAACCGACAAGCAGCCGCCCTGCCTCCGTCGAAGGCCACCCTCTCCGGTCAGCCCAAGCCTGGGCCCGCGGAGCCAACGCTGCATCCAGCTCGCCTCACGCCAGCCCCACCGTGCCGGCCGACGCTGGGGCCGAGGGGTGGGCAGGCGGTGCGGGGCCGGGCGCCCCGTTACCCATCGGGGCGTCGGGGACGAGGCCTGCGGGCACGCGGCCTTCCTCGCCCGCCGCCCCACGCACCCTCG